TGCGTCCGGTCTATCGGGTATACTCAGGTGAAGTGCGATTTACATAATTGAACGAATTAATTATGCTAATTAATTACGACAATCAGTAAATCGTACATTGTTTCATTCTCTCAAAATGGCGTAACTATACTTGATAAAGAATAACCAAAGAAAAATAATATAGAAGGGGCATTTTAACATATGAATTATGATCTATTATAAATTTTTATTTGAAATGTTTTAGGACTGATTATCGGTAAAAAATAATTAATAATTAATTAACAAAGGCGTAAGCAATACATAGTTATGTGGGTTGTTCGAGAGTTGGTGACGCAAATTAACTGTGGAGTTTACACTAAATTTAGAGAATAATCTTGTTTGGTATCATCAGGAATCGGGTCTAGTTTACGTTCATTCTGGTGAAGTCATTCAGTTTGTTAATACCATTGGGGCGGAATGACTTCAATCTGTGCATCCAGAACTTTTCTTTGCTTTTTCTCTGAGCGTCTGTCCATCTTGGGTTATGATCAATCACCACTACTGTCATGTCCTCCCATTTGTGACCCTCAAGGTTGAAATGTTCCCCAACGGGTTCATTGAGTTTTTTGGTCCTAATGGTCGAACGGTGGTTATTGACTCTCCTGCGGAGATCTCCTGTTTCACCAATACAGTATACTGTTTGGAGCAAACTTTGCAACTGATGAGATAAATGCAGTTGTCAGTATGACAGGACAGACTTCCTAGTATTTTGTAGCTGCGGCCTGTAACAGGGCTGTTAAAACTGTCTGTGTCAGTGCTGTGCTTACAAAGAAGACATCTTCTGTCAGAGCAAGTCTTAAAGCCCCCGTTAGGTAATGGGTTGTCCAGTCTGGTTCTTACTACCATGTCCTTTAGGTTCCTAGGGCGTCTGTATGCAGCCAATGGGGGTTCCTTAAAGACCTCTGCCATTCGTTTGTTTGAATGGAGAATTGGTAGGTTCTTTTGAAGGATACCGCTTAGGTTCTTAAGGACGGGATGGTATGTGGTTACCAGAGGGACCCTACCGCTATTTTCTTTCTCTTTGTAGCGTAATAGGTTTTGCCTGTCATGTCCCGCCATCTCATCAATAGCTGTTTGTACGTTGCGGGAATTGTAGCCTCTTTTGCATAGGTGGGACTTAAGAAGATCACTTTGCTCCTGATATAAGCCAGGGGACGAACAGATGCGTCGAATTCTGGTGGCTAGACCCTTAGGCACTCCCTTAAAAGTGTGTGGGGGATGACAGCTAGTGGGCATAAGATATAGGTGGGAATCTGTGGGTTTGGTGTGGAGACTGAATTCGATTTCACCATCAATCAGGGTAGATGTGGTATCTAGAAATACGTTTTTCGAATTAGATACGTCTACTGTAAATTTGATCGACTGATGAAAGGTGTTGGCAAACGTAATGAATGCCTCGAGGCTCTCGCGACATTCCACCCACTTCATCTCTATATCGTCAATAAAACGCAACCAGCTATGGGGCCTAAATGGTGCTTGAAGTAACAAGTTGCGTTCCAGTCTGCCCATGAAGACATTGGCATAAGACGGTGCCATTTTCGTACCCATAGCAGTGCCATTAACCTGCAGGTAATGTTCTCCATTAAACATGAAGTTGTTGAACTTGAGAACGTGTTCAAGGAGCTTGGCAAGGGACTCGGTAGAAGGAATTTGTATGGACCTACTATCCCAGACTTCTCTACAGGCTTCGATACCCTCATCGTGCGGAATATTGGTGTACAAAGATGTGACGTCCATAGTCACGAGGAGGGTATGATCTGGGAGGCCAGTAGAGGGCGTCTTGTTAATGTAGTCCGTGGTGTCCTTGAGATAGGATGGCAAATTCTCTACGTGTGGACGGAGATGTAAATCAATGAATTCAGAAATTTTCTCCGTGGGGTGTCCAATTGCGCTGACTATGGGACGACCTGGCATGCCTTCTTTGTGTATTTTAGGAAGCAGATAGAATTGTCCTGGTCTACAGTCAATAGGATTTAAGGTCTCGTAGACGTTGATACCAATCTCATTTTTCTCAAACATATCGTCAAGAGTTTTGGTAATGGCGGTGGAGAATTCTTTAGTAGGGTCAGAGTCCAGTTTCTTATAGAAACGTTCGTCTGAGAGTTGTCTTTGGGCCTCCGCCATGTAAGTCTCTTTATCCAGTACGACAACTGTAGAGCCTTTGTCTGCTTTCTTGATTACAATGTCATCCCGATTTTTTAATGATTGTAAGGCAGATCTCTCTTCCTTACTCAAATTGTCGGGAGTCTTGTCTGGCACTGAAAGGAGCTTCTCTATGTCTGACTCAACGGCGTCAATATACGACTCAAGCGCGCCACACTTGCCCGGTGCAGGTTCCCAGTCACTCTTGGGCCTATAGAGTTTGTGTTCCTCTAGATCGTGTAAATCTGGCTTGGAAGAGTCGTATGAATTTACTTCGGAGTCTTTTCTAGAGAAGTGCTCCTTCAAACGAAGTCTCCGGAAGAATGCTCGGGTGTCCTCTCTGACTTGTTTTTCGTCGACCTCATGTGGCGTGGGGCAGAAATTCAGCCCCTTGGAAAGAAGTGAGGTCTCCGATTCGGAGAGAGGAGCACTAGATTTATTGAGCACTGGGCAGACGTCAGGAGTTTGTATGGGTCCGTCCCTCGCTATTGTCTTAGTGCGCTTGAAGCGTCTCGAGCGAGGTTTACGTGTTATGTTAACTCTGACTTCTGAGAGTCAATAACCACCGTTCGACCATTAGGACCAAAAACTCAATGAACCCGTTGGGGAACATTTCAACCTTGAGGGTCACAAATGGGAGGACATGACAGTAGTGGTGATTGATCATAACCCAAGATGGACAGACGCTCAGAGAAAAAGCAAAGAAAAGTTCTGGATGCACAGACTGAAGTCATTCCGCCCCAATGGTATTAACAAACTGAATGACTTCACCAGAATGAACGTAAACTAGACCCGATTCCTGATGATACCAAACAAGATTATTCTCTAAATTTAGTGTAAACTCCACAATTAATTTGCGTCACCAACTCTCGAACAACCCACATAACTATGTATTGCTTACGCCTTTGTTAATTAATTATTAATTATTTTTTACCGATAATCAGTCCTAAAACATTTCAAATTAAAATTTATAATAGATCATAATTCATATGTTAAAATGCCCCTTCTATATTATTTTTCTTTGGTTATTCTTTATCAAGTATAGTTACGCCATTTTGAGAGAATGAAACAATGTACGATTTACTGATTGTCGTAATTAATTAGCATAATTAATTCGTTCAATTATGTAAATCGCACTTCACCTGAGTATACCCGATAGACCGGACGCATTTTATAGCGGTCCGGATTCTTTCTTTAATAGTGTTCTTAAAAATTTCCAAATCAACATGTAACTTAGTATGTAAATATATAGTGTTTAGTAGTTTAGTAGTAGTGCTAGTTGTTTTTTGTTTCGCTTTTTCCTTTGTTCTTATGACTTTTTAACTCTTTTCTTTGTCCTGAGGAAGGGACAGGGCGTCCCGAAAATTTGACAATTTTTATTGTTCGTGTCGTTGGTCATTTTTAGTGCTTTATATATATATATATATATATATATATATATATATATATATATATATATATATATATATATATATATATATATATATATATATATATATATAATATCGAGCGAGAGTTCACCAATAAAAATTAGATTTATACTTTTTAGGAAAGCACTGATTTTTTACAGATTCAGATTTTTTTTATTAGAAGTTATTCAATCATTTCTTTAGTTAGTAATTTTGAAAGAAAAAAGTTTTTTCATGAATCTTGGATCTAAATGCTAAAACATTCATGTATATGTGTTATTTTTATCAATGGGTCCTGACAAACTTGATGCTTACTTTTAAATTTGGTTTACGTAAATTTCGTTCTTATCAGAATAAAAGAAGCCCTTTTCAAGTCTAAGGAGGATGAAGACTTCCATTACAGTGACGCACGCAGCATTATATCTTCCAATTATTTGCCTCATTTATAATGATGGCCCACAGCCATTGGCCCTACAAGAAGCACTGTTTCCCAAGAAGGTTGTGTGAAATAAACAAATATGTCACTTTGGGTGAATGAGTGAAATAATTCAAAATCGTATAAAGCTTGGCATGTTGTTAAAGCTAGTTTGTATCGTATTTCTGTAAGTGATTGATTTACCTGTTTTAAAATCGTTTTATTATGACATACTTAATCAACAACAGCTAGAATACGCCATCAGGTAAATTGAAAATAATTTTTGCACTTTAAATTGAGTCGCATTTATTTAAAAGTAGAAAAATAATCCTTGAATAAAACAGGGATTGTAATTTAAAGCCATTAAAAAAGAATAATAAAAATTTAAACAAAAGACAAATAAAAGCAGAAAAAAAATCTAATAAAAAAAATCAAATCAAATAAGGAATGGTCAGAAGAGCATTAGTTTTTTTAAAGGTGCAGTTTTATATAAAACAAATGGACAAAAATTTTAGCATAAGAAAAGCGTACCTATAAATCATGATCATGTTTTTTTTCTTTTAATCCTCATATAAAGTATACAAAGTAGCCACTTTGAAGTAATTTTATAAAGCCCGTATTGATTTTCTGCTCTTTTTTTTTTTCATGAAAATGTATTCGAATATAAAAACTCAAAATGATAATTTGATTTCTTTGTACTACATATTCTGTTTTGATTGCTAATTTTGAAGTAATCTCATGAATCAACTGTGAATATTTGGTAAGTTTTCCTATTATAAGGTAGCCTGATTGATATGGACTCTCTTTTGTATGTTGTTTACCTCTTCTAGAGTCACAGTAAGTCAATGAAAGCTATCATCCAGCGACCCACGGCTCTGTTTGGTCAAACTGATAACACGTACCTCCCTGGTGATTGGCATAATGAATTTCCTCTGTCTAGAATTCACAACAGGTAAAATCGGAGGTGCAAATACCATGCAGTTGCATAAAAATATAACATTTGAATGGTACTTTAGAGAAAAAAATCGATGATAAAATATGACTTTGTTATACAGAACAATTTGTACATCCGGAAAATGATTTTGCTCACAGTTTTAGGTTTCATTTCAATCTTTTTGACAACGCATACACATGCTGCGAGAGAGAAAGGTAGGTAAAATTAATTTAAATATTTTTAATAAAATAATTTTTTCTTAGAAGTGAAAAATATACTTAAAAAAAAGTTGTTTTTTTTCATTTTCTTTAAAAATAACAATGTATATCAGGTTTGATGAAAGGATCATTGTTTAATAGTTAAACGTGTACTTTATACATTTATTAAAAACGATATACCCTCTAGACTGTTTTAAGAGTTAAAAAAAAATACAACTCGATATCCCATTAAAACGCAAGGCGATCAATCGATAGTGAAAGGCCTCCAAAGTAGATGTATACTAGTATCTAGGGGGAAAAAAATCTTTTTTAAAAATGTTATCTCGTGATTTTCTTTTTCCTTCCTTTCATTTCTCAGAAAAGGGTCTGTTAATTTTTTTTTTTTTTTGAAGTCATTTATGATATATACATTCGAGCATGTTGTCGTTCAAAATATGGAATTTTGAGAGGAGTGTAGGGTCTAGGATTCAACATTATTCCTTTTTTATTATCATTTCACTAGTATAAATAATCTTTCCGTTTTACCACATTCGTTGAATGTAGTGTAATTGAGAGAATAGCCCTTGGATTCTGACACTCAATACCATGGGCGGATACAGGATTTGTGATTGGGGGGGGCAACTTTGTTGAGGCAAGGGGTATGGGGGCCGCCTTAAGGCCCCCAGTGGGTCCAGGGCGAAACCCTGGTGGGGGCTCCCAGGGGGGCGAAGCCCCCGAAAGCTCCTGGATTTTCGTGTATTTTAAGAGTAAAACCAGGCACAATAATAGTATATATTTTTCAGTTATTTTTGTTAAAAGTGACATACAGGTTTGGGTGTTTGAATATTAATTGTAAATGAATGTTTCTCATTGCATTGTATTATAACACATGCCACTATAATAATCGATTTACTTACTTACTTACTACATGTAACAGTGGTATTGGTTAGTTATGTACCAAAGTACTGCATTACAAATACAAGTTATATCATGCTTTGAATGGTGGGGGGCGAAGCCCCCGGAAGCTCCTGGATTTTTTCGTGTATTTAAAAGAGTAAAACCAGGCACAATAACAGTGGTTTTGGTTAGTTATGTACCAAAATGTGACATTATTAATATTATTCATATCATACTTTGAAAATTTGGGGGGGGGGGGGGGCGTGCCCCCCTTAAATCCGCCAGTGAATACTGTTGAAAACGGGGATTTATCAAATGTATGGTATGAGCAAACTTTTAACTTAAAATGAATATCAAAAACAAAAAAGAAAAAAAAGATCAAAATTACGATAAATTCAAAAGTGAATACATGAAGTTCCCTTTTCTTCAAAAAGTGGAAATTAGAGAATTAACAAAGCAATTTTGAATGTGAAAAATATTTCTTTTCTTATCTAGTATATTCAGTAAATCTTTTAAAATCGCCATCCCATGAACTGAACGACTTTTTAATTTATATGATAAGCAAATGAAAGGACGAATATCCCTTTTGTTGATTCTCTTTAAAAAAATCTGTGATGAGAATTATTAAACCAGGAAAAAACTGCAAACGATAGTACTGTATTGTTCTCCTGCCTACCTCTAAGTCAATTTACAAAAATTAACATATTCGAATGAGTTTTTTTAATTATTATTATAGATATTTGTATCGATTTTCATAAAACATTACTTATTTGGTAAACAGGGAGAGATAATTCTAAAAATATTGGTCAAACTTGTTTTACTCAATATAGAAATCCCCCCCTCCCCCCTGTGAAACAAAAAATATTATTTACAGGTGAAATGGAATTTATACCCTTTTTGTGTTTCACGGAAGGGGGGGGTATGTTTACAGTCACAAATCGACAAAATGCTTTTTTCTCACCAATTTCTAAGCGGTTTACAAATTATACATTGTTTTTATTCATACATAATTATGTTAAATTTTTTTATGCTTAAAACATAAGAAAAGATTTGAGGAACATTTAATCATATCCAAGACTATTTCACAATATGGTGATGCTTTAAAGAACAAAGTACATTATTGGCTATATACGGCCGAGAAATTTTACTATTTTTAAACTACGATTTTTTGAGCGAGTCCTTCATATTTCGCTTACAATAAGATCAACGCTAAAGTCAACTTATATAAATATGACGTAATATGTTATAATATACCACACCAAACAGCAGTTGCTCAGTGTAATCCGTCTATTTTTCATGAAAAATCAATAAACGTTGATTAAAATTGAATATGTTCCCATGCATTATAATCACTTCTATCATATACTTAGTAGTAAATACACCGATTCTGCACAATGTGATACGGGTGATGTTACAATACCCCATATCACGGACCGGTGCGAAAAGCCGTATCACGTATCGGACCAGCGGGCCAAAAATCCATATCACACCGGAAGTAACGTTTGTTTAAAGTTTAAAAGTTAATTTATTTGATTTTATTTAAATATTCATGTAAAATGATAAAATTTGTGGTCTTAATTTCTTTTTCAGTCACCTAAAATTGGGTCTTTTAAATTAAAAGAAAAAGGTCATAAACAGGCACAAAACATTCTTCAATGACTCTTTGTAAGCTCACATATTAAGTATGTTAAATATATAATAAATAGAATGCTACATACTAAAATCCATATCAGCACATCCATATCCGCATCAGCACTCTGGCCCCATATCAGCCGTCGGGCCTTCGGGCTGATATGACATATGATATGGATTTTAGCATGTACATGTAATATTCTCTATTTATTTTTTGTGCATAAAATTATTGGCTAAAACCCCTATTCTAATGCAATTGGTTTGTAAAACATGTTTTGATTGGATAGAGCGACGCAAACACACTTTTAAAAAAAGCGTCAAAAATTTCTCAAAAAGCCTATCCCACTCATTAAAATCCTTTTTCTATCACTTGACATTTGTTTATTTATTTATTTCTCTTTAATAATTTTTCTCGTTACAATTATAATGGAATATAAGGTAAAAGCAATTCTCAGAATCAAAATATACCTCTCCGGTAAATTAATAATTAAACGTTTGTACAATTTGTTAAATCGTTTGTACAATTTAATAAATCGTTTGTAGAATTTGTTAAATCGTTTGTACAATTTGTTAAATCGTTTGTACGATTTTTTAAAATAGTTTGTACGATTTAGGAAATTGTTTGTACGATTTTATTAAAATCGTTTGAACAATTTAGGAAACCGTTTGTTTATAAAGTTTATTTTTGATACTTCAGATTTAGATGAAATAATAGTTGGTCTGAAACAAATAGTAATTGAGATCGGGGTGTTAATAATCTTTAATGCATTGAATCCTGAATGTTATGTGTTTGTGCTTTATTTGAAATGGAGACATTGCATCTCATAGGTATTCAATATTCATACATGTTGTTTTCTTGTCAAAATATCGGCAAAAACAAATAGTTTGGACAAATATTGCAATATTATTTTATAATAATGTGTAATGATGCTGTATATACATAAATAAATAATCTAATTGTATTAAATTACACAATTTTTCTAACTTACTCTAAAGTACTCTATCGTACACTGTTTAGTAGTACCCAAAATGATTTTTTAAAATCGTACAAATGATTTTAAAAATCGTACAAACGATTTCCTAAATTGTTCAAACGATTTAAAAAAAATCGTACAAACAATTTCCTAAATCGTACAAACGATTTCCTAAATTGTTCGAACGATTTAAAAATTCGTACAAACGGTTTCCTAAATTGTTCAAACGATTTAAAAAATCGTACAAACAATTTCCTAAATCATACAAACTGTTTTAAAAAATCGTACAAACGATTTAACAAATTGTACAAACGATTTAACAAACAAATTGTCAAACGATTTATTAAATTGTACAAACGATTTAACAAATTGTACAAACGTTTTAACAAATTGTACAAACGTTTTCTTAAATCGTACAAACGTTTTCTTAAATCGTTCAAACGATTTTAAATTTTTTTTCTACATTGTCAATATGGCACAAATACGCCGTCGTACAATTTGCATTTCAAATGACAATAATTTTTGTATGTCATAAGTGCATTTTTATGTTGAGTTTACACTGATTTTTTTTCTTTGAAAGCCATGGAGATACAAACCTGTAGAGGGTAGAACCTTCGCGAACCCCACGTGAATGTCGCCGAGATCCCGTTTCTTCTCCATCCAAATGATTATTTTAATCTCCCAACTAAATTTTTGTCAGGAAAGTTGCTTTTTAATTTCAAGCCCTATTTTTTGTTTCGTTTTTCGTTTTGGTCGACTTTGTCAATGTAGCAGGCCTACCAGGCTTCCCTCTCTTACCATGGTATTTTGTTTATGAAAACTACGCATGCGTGTATAGCATGGAATGTGGAACCTCGAACACGTTGCGATGTATATATTTATGTTTACATTTCCAATGAATTTTCCCTATGATTCTTTACAAAATAAAATGCAGTATATTTTCTCATGAACCACATTACAATAAGCATGAATATCTGCATTGTTACGTCATAATACCCGTCCGCTAACGTGCTTATGCTGGCGTGAAGCATCGTAGTTCATAACCTCATGAATCTTCAAAAATTAAATTCATTTCTTAAATGTACCATAAATGATTATTAATTTTAATGAAATAATCAGAATTATTTACTTATGAAACTTGTAATTTTCTGAAAGTATATATATACATTTATGAGTATAAAAAAATTCCAAATCCTATAGGAAAATTTTAACAAGTCTGTTTTTGAAGAGATGCGCCGTATTGTCATTTTAATACAAATCATTTGAATTTATTATTTGAATACTTCTACCAAGTTTGGATAACAGATGACGTCAAATAAAAAAGATATGACAGAAGTCCACGAACTTTTCAAATAACCATCGTATATACATGTTTACGTAATGGTTTGGGCCATGGATATCGGTCTGGATAGCTCAGCTGGTAGAACACCTGACTGGAGATGCAGGGGTCCAAGGTTCGTTTCCCGGTCCAGCCATACCCCCCCCCCCCCCCCCATTACAGATGTGGTGCCATTG